ATTATGAAATCGGCCCTAAATGTTAAACCGCCATTGACCTCTAAACATTTTTTGTTTCATTTAGAAAGGTCACTTGTTGCTTTCCTAATTGCTTTATCTCTTCCTTTAATATTAGTCCCTCATCTGACTGCAAAAAATGGCACGTCTTGTTTTTTGCTTGCTAATTGTAGTTGGGTACAGAGGAAGGGGGTGAACAGCATGTACTCTGTGCCGGTGGTGGGACCCATCGTATAACCTGTCAAATTCAAAGTAAAGTTGCTTATCGATGGATTTTTTCGTTTTTTTTGCTGGCCATGAAATAATATGCTTTTAAACATCTATAGCAATACAAAAATCCCTTTGAAACAATTTTCTGTCGTCCAGTTTTGCTACTTCCGACCACGTTACCTGATATTTATGTTATTTAACGAAATTCGGGAGATAGCTGAAACACGATTTTTCTGAACTTAAGAAGATATTGCAAGCATTTTTTTGTGTCGGCGAAAAGGTTGATATGCAAAAAATGTAACCTTGTAGTAGGTGAAAAATCGGAACCAAACGTCAAAAAATGGTTTAATTGCTCTCAAAATGTTTGTACAACTCTCAACTAAGAGTACTGTCCTCGCAAGCTCTTTTTATTTAGTATTTTACCCCATTCGCCATAAATTAGACTATTATGACACATTTTTTACGAAAATTCGGGGTGAATAAGTGGCTGATGGTAAAAGTGCTAAAAAAATGTCTCAAAGACAATAATCTTAGTAGGTAAAACTACTGAATAAAAAATGCTTGCAAGGCAAATACTCTTAATTGAGAGTCATAAATATTTTGAGAGCAATTAAACCACTTTTCGACTTTTGGTTGCGATTGTACACCTATTTCATGTTTACTTTTTTTTTCATATCAACCCTTTCGCCGACATAAAAAATGCTTTCAATATCATCTTAAGTTCAGAAATACAGCGTTTAAGCTATATTCCAAATTTCATTGAGAAATACAAATATACGGTCACGTGGCCGAAATACCTACACCGAAAGTAGCAAAATTTGACTACAGAAATTGTTTGTATAATGGTTTTTTATTATTATAGAGTCTATAAGCATATTATTTCATTGTCAAAAAATTAATCGATAAGCACTTTACTTTGACTTTGAATTTGGCAGGTTACACGACAACTCCTACCACCTGAACATAGTACATCTTGTTTACTCTCTCCCCTGTATCCAAATAAGAGAAAGCCAAAAACATGACGTGCCACTTTTGCAGTCAGATGAGGGACTATGTCGGCTGCAGTATTTCTAATACGTCGAATTAGGCACTTTTACCTGATACACTTCATATTTCAAACGGGCTACTATTGTTTTTTGAAATTTTAAATCACTGTCAATTCTGTTAAGTTAATTGTGAGTATATTTGTTTAGTTATTGAGATTATTTAATAAATAATAATATAGCATTCCATAAGATATTCGTCTATATTTACAAATAAATCGTAAATTTTAATAAAACTATCTAAAACCAATCTAATTATCAGTATTAAAAACATATATTGCTTGTCTCGATAGATATAGAATCCTAATTTCCCATGCGGAAGGTCCGGGGTTCAAATCCAGGATAAAGAGTAAATAAAATGTTTTTTTTTCGAGTTTATTTTATAAATTAGTATAGGTCATAAATAATTTTTCAAATAGATATTTTAATTAAATACCCTGTAAATTAATTTGTTATATTTTATAGATTTTCGTAATTGGGTCGTAGAAAAATTTACCATATAACTCCAGTGGATTGTCCGTATCGCACTTATATCCTTCATATCTACTCTTGTTGCACAAACTACTATTTTCGATTTACACCTAGTGAGGCGTTCATCTGTGGACAAACTATACATAGGTGTATCTGTTATTCATGATCATTAAGTTGATAGATTTTGTAAGTTGTCACAATTTCTGTAGTTTTTATTGTACATTATTCAATTCTCTTCCTAAATCGTCCTATTTTAGGTCAAGGATTATCCAGTTACAATATGTATGTTTATTAATGAAACATCCTGTATATCACACCTTTCATATAGTCTTCAACCTTTTACAATAATTATAAAAAATTTCGCATGATGAACCTTCAATATATAATTTTAATATAGAAAATGTTTCTAAAACTCTTCTAGAATAGTTAATTAAAAATTGTTTTAATTTTACAGTAAATTATGAATTACTTTTTTTTTAAATTATGTATGTAAGATATTAGCTTATGAGTGATTTTTTTGTTATTATTTTTTAACCGACTTCAAAAAAGAAGGAGGTTCTCAATTCGTCGCGATTTTTTTTTATGTATGTTCAGCGATAATTCTTTAACACGGCGTCCGATTTCTATTATTCTTTTTTGATAGAAAGGGGCTGCTTCAGGGGTGGTCCCATATAAATTTGGTCAAAATCTAATAATTGGCTCCATGAGAAAATCCTCAAACTCTTCATTTTTTATGTATGTTTAGCGATAATGCTTTACCACCTTGTCCAATTTATATGATTCTTTTTTTGTTAGTGAGGGGGTACCTCAAAGGTGGTCCCATATAAATTTGGTTAAGATGTGGTGATGGCACCTGCAAGTGTTTGAAGTCGGTTTTTTTAAATTTTTTATTTCTAATACTTGTTTTATAAATTAGTGCTGTTAACTAAGTAAACCTGAAAATATATAATTTGTCTATAGTAAATATTTGTTGAGCAATAAACTTATTACAGATTTTTTAGCAAAAAGTATAGTGCGCAACACGTGCAGAAATGCAGTTTCTTATTAGTTTAAATTCCGACATTATTTGCGCTTTTTCCGCAACTTTTTCAATCTCTTGAGAAATTAGCTTCGTTCTGCACTTCTGTATTTACAAATCATTTTTAATATTTACCTTCGTAGAAATTCTTAAATATAGAAATGTCATCAAATCAGAGAAAAGGTAGAGATTGGATATGGCATGATTTTTCAATCACACTTTGAATCGTTACTGTGATTACCTAATAAAATTCAAATTAATGAGGTTATATTTAACAAATTGAATATTAGTTAATATTTTTTTGGAAACCATTTATGAAATCTATAGAAAAACATGTAAAGAATCTCAATTCACCAAGATTAAAATAGTTATAAAGGTGAATAAACGAAAAGAAATCCCCCTTTAAATTTCCCCTACATATATTTTTTCAATTGCGACCGGTTCCGAAGATGAAAATTTGAAAATTTTCCATATTTTCACCACGTATACAAGGTGTCCAGAAATTGCGTGTACGTGCCTTAAACACCTAAAGATTCCTACAGGCAGCGTTCTGTATACCGCATATTCAGATTATTATTATTATTATTATTATTATTATTGTTTCGTTGATACCATCTTTCATAGTTCTAAGTTGTAATAAAAAGTAGTTAATTAGTAATAATTAACGTTTAATTACCTTTGTTAATTAATTATATTTAATTTTGACTAGCACTTAGATATATTTATACCAAACCATTTACTTACCTTAATGGTCTTAATTCAATCAGAAAATCAGATGATCATATGAGACTATAGTTTTCTTAGTCGTGAATTCAGACACTTTTGGGAAATATTTTAAGGAAATATGGGCACCAATAACTCTCTTTTTATTTTTAAAAAGCTAGTTGAGAATTGTCTTAATCATTAAAAATAAGATTCAAAAAGGATATAAATAAATTTGTTGTATTATTTAACAGTGGAAATGTTCATCAAATTGTACAATTACCAAATAAAATTTACAAGTAATGTCAGAAATCCAGTTCAAAGAACTAGCGAATTTAGAAACAGTTGCAAACACAAAGATTGTCTAATATATTTTATCCAGAAAATTTAACCATTGTAATAGATATTTTTACCAGTTGGCGTCTATGATTTAATACATAAAAAATAAAACAGGCATAATACAACCTCAGTATTCACTAGATCGGCATCTCAGCTACAGTGTGGTGATCAGGATGCTGATTCTCTGCGATTTAACTCAACGAGTCGACTTTAATTCTTTGATGTAATTCAATTACATCAATGTACGGCTTAGGTATTTACGAATCGAAGACTGCTAAATATTCGCTCTCTAAACAAATATAAATTCTGTTTTTTACAAGGCCCTCACAAGAGATACAAGTCAAACCTCTAAATAAGTATTTTTAAAATTTCCCACAATTAAAAAATTCATTAATACATTTACTTTTTGATAATACTAAAAATTAATATTAACAATATGAAATTCCAGCAACATAAAAGGAATTAATAGACACATATCGATTAATTCGAAATTGATTTTCAAAAATTAAACTTATAATTAAACAAAAGGTAGAAATGTAAAGACCAATTAGATTTTTTCAATGACAATACAAACTTACCTCTATCGCAGTCTTGGCACTGGTTTTCAGGTCAACTATTCAATTACAAATAGGGATGCGCACGATGTATCGATGGTTAAAAAATATCGATTTTTCGGTTTAGATTTTTGATGCTTTTATTTCGATGTTATTAATTAACATCGATGTTTTTATTTAACATCGATAATTGTTTTTTTTAATTGATGGTCTGATGATCTTTTTTTTTGCTCTTCAATGAAATGTTTTTGAAAAACATCGATGTTTAGAAAAATCGATATTTTCTTTCCGATTTTTTACAGTATCGATAGTCTGTATTCGATGTATCATTTGATATCAACATCGATGTTTTAAAAAATTTGCACATCCCTAATTATAAAATAAATGGTAAACGATTTCAGACACAGCAAATGCCAGATTTCTAAATAAATTTTCCACTACGCAAAACCTCCCTCTCTTAGCAATGTTGCGTGACCCAACAATCAAACTTTAAATCATTTTAATACAAATCAATCTATTTAAATGGGATGTCACCTATTCAAAATAACATTTTTAAATGTTACAACAGTATATACTACTTACAGTTTTATAACCATTTGTAATGTCTTTTGTGTTAGTCAGAAATTAAATTAACATGAGTCCCATTGTTTCTTTGCAGTTGAAAATATGGAACGATGTCTTCTGTACATAGGTGGAGGTGCTGGAGCGTTAGCCCTTACTGGAGTCGCGGCTGCCTCTGCATATTACTTAACCAAAGGTCCGAGTTGTGCTCCTGAAAGACCTTTATTCCCATTGGAAGCTCAGTGTATAGAAGAAGAAGAGGTAAGTGTTTTTTTTTGCTATTAAAGAAAAATATCTACATATTTATTTTGGAATCGGCCAAAACTAATACGATTTAGACCTATAGGAAAGAGAGGGGACACGTAACTGTAATTTTAAGTCCTTATTTATTGCAATCATTCAGATTGTGCTTATTATTACGCAAACAGAGTTGTTGCACCCGCTGCCGCATTAAAAAAATGAGACAGCTGGTAATTTGAGCGGGGATATTTTGTGCGAGAATGTTTATCGAAGGAGCCAGCATGCGTTTTATGAATGAATCAGTAGTTGCGTCTACTGCGCTTGCTTTACACTGCTGTCATACTTAAATCAATTGCGTACTTTTCTGAAAAACACTAAAAAACTATAATAATTGTAACGAGAAATACGTTAAGGTGATTACTGCACCCCCTTATAATTTTCGGACAAGGATATCTCAAAAAGTAATTTTTATAGAAAATTTAAATTTAGGCAAAATAAATTAGGCAATAATATCTAGAATATGCATATTTTTTAAAGTTTTAATTCCTTCCAGTTTCCGATAAAAAAAATCAAAGTGCTTTAAATTTTGAAATATCATAATGAAAATAAATGCATTTCTCAACAGCACTATTTTTAATATAATCCCTAAATTTAAGCTCTTAATCTCTTGCTAATGATTTTTTAAAATTCGCCGAAATTAGTGGCTAAAACGCCTCGTTAAGTGCTTCTTTCTAGTGTAACGCGTCTGTAACTATCGTATCGTACACTCTGAGTCATCATTCGTTTCTTGCAATGATTTACACTAATATACACCAGTTTAAACCAGAAAATAGCACTTAACAAGGCGTTTTAGCCACTAATTTCAGCGAATTTTAAAAAATCATTAACAAAAGATTAAGAGCTTAAATTTAGGGATTATATTAAAAATAGTGCTGTTGAGAAATGCATTTATTTTCATTATGATATTTCAAAATTTAAAGCCCTTCGATTTTTTTTCTCGGAAATTGGAAGGAATTAAAATTTTAAAATATATGCATATTCTAGATATTATTGCCTAATATATTTTGCCAAAATTTTAATTTTTTAAAAAAATTACTTTTTGAGATATCCTTATTTGAAAATTATAAGGGGGTGCTGTAATCACCTTAAACTGATAATAACTTGCATTAAGAATGCAAATATACTTCCTTAGTGTATTTTGAATGTATTTTGTGCGCTTTAGAGCCTTGCGTTTAAACAATACCGAATTATAACCATATATAAACCTTGTGTTACGCAGCACCCTGGTCGTCATAAGTAAAGGTTCGAGTAAAAAAAGAAGGGGGAATATTCGAGAAATGTCATTCCACGTCAAGGAAAAGTCTAGACAGTTCGAGAAGGTGAAAGCAAGCTATACAGGGTGTTTCAAATTTAAACGGACACAGCTCAATGGGAGTAGAGTACACTTAGCTGAGTTCAAAACACCCCTATACTTATCCTTTAATCTTATTCGTTTTTGAAATATAGGGTGTTTTGTGACTTTTTGCCAAAACTAAAATCGGCCATTTTGTTTGAACGGCTAGAGTTATTTTGATAACATTTTGTACAAAAGTTACACTCTTTTAGGTTAATGAAAACCATAATTTAATTTTAAAAAATTCCAGGACCGGACTCTCTTTTTTTATATTGCTCTTCTTATCTAGAATATCACCCTGTATGTTGTTAGATCTGGAGATCTTGGTGGCCAATTGGCGGGACCACCTCGACCTATCCAGCGACTTGAACACACATTAAATGTTTGGTGTGAAATTTTTAAAAAATCACTTAATATCCAAGCACAGTTAAATCATCGTTTCCCAAATAGATGGATAGGTCGAGGCGGTCCCGTGAATTGGCCACCAAGATCTCCAGATCTAACACCTCTGGACAACGAAGAAATGAATACCCGAGCACAGTTATTGGAAAAAATTAACAATGTATGTAACAACATTAGAAATAAACCAAAAATAATTGATAAATTAGTGAAAAACCTGTTAAAACGTTCGCAGATGTGTATTGACGTTCACGCTGTTCATTTTGAAAATCTACTTTAGCTTTAATTAATTATTTGTTTCTGTTAGTTTGTTCTATTACTTTATTAAATAAAGTGAGCCCGGTTCTGTGTAGATGTTCAATTTCCTAATGGAAAATGCTGTATTTAAAAAAAAATGAAGATGGTACCTAATTTGTGTAGAGTTTTAAAAGTACAGGGTAAAATATTTGATTTTAATTTTGTAAATACTGATTTATAATAATGTAGTCGCCATTATAAAAATGTACTGTAAGAACATCAAGATGGTGCCATAAAATATTATTACATTATTTTATTTGTTGATCCATGTACTATTTAAATGTGCAGTAACATTTATTAAAATCCGATATACAGGGTGATATTCTAGCTAAGAAGAGCAATATAAAAAAAAGAGAGTCCGGTCCTGGAATTTTTTAAAATTAAATTATGGTTTTCATTAACCTGAGAGAGCGTAACTATTGTACAAAATTTTATCAAAATAACTCTAGCCGTTCAAACAAAATGGTCGATTTTAGTTTTGGCAAAAAGTCATAAACCACCCTATATCTCTGAAACGAGTAAGATTAAAGGCTAAGTATAGGGGTGTTTTGAACTCAGCTAAGTGTACTCTACCTCCCATTAAGCTGTGTCTGTTTAAATCTGAAACACCCTGTATATGTCAGTGATCCTGACGTCAGTCAATCAGTTTTATGATAGACGTTATACGTTAATGTTATCAGTTGTATAATTATTGTTAAAGTTGAGTTGAAATAGAGATACCAAAAACCTGCTTAACATTGGTGACAGTGGATGTTCATGGTAAATACTAGATTTATTGAGTACGAAGCATGCATGGATACTTCAGGCCCACCAGCATGGTTTTTGAAGATGGAAGAGGAGAGAGTAAAGCAAGAAGAAGAAAGGGAAAGGCGTAGAAAGGAAGAAGAGGAGGAAAAAGAAAGGCGTAGGAAGGAAGAAGTAGAGGAAAAGGAAAGGCGTAAGAAGGAAGAAGAAGAAGAGAAGAGTGAAAGGCGAGAAGAGGATAAGGAGGAGAGGCATAGAAAAGCGGAGGTGGAGATTATAAATGGCTTAATACAAATTCAAGAAAACTTCAGGCAAGAGGTAGGTCAGCTAAACAGTCGAGTAGATCTCCTAGCATAACAAGAAGAGCAGCAGCAAGAAAACTTAAAAAACTACTTTAGATAATTTAAAAACTAACTTAGAACAGCAACAAGAGAATCTAAAAACTAATTTGGAACAACAACAAGTGCATCTAACTCATTTAGAACAGCAGCAACAGCATTTAAAAACCAATTTGAAACAACAACAGGAAAAGGCAAAAGTAGAGTTAGAAAGGAAAATTAGAGCTGAAATGGTAGAGTTAGAAAGAAGAATTCGTAGCCAGGCATTGGTAGGCACCATTGAAGCTGAAAACACTACCTCGTCTTCATCTACAGCCGAACCAAGTCACATTCAAACCCCAGTTACACAGAACCATATTAGCAAACCCTTAAGCCACCCACGTTTGACGGTCAGACATCATGGGAAACACATCGACTCCAATTTGAAGCTGCAGCTAGGGCTAATGACTGGACCAAGAAGGAAATGGCGGCTTCATTGATAGTGTGCGAGGTCAGGCAGCGACCGTTTTGTTACTTCCCCAAGAGTAACCGAGTTATTCATCTCTCGTCCAAGCTTTGGAGACAAGATATGGCCAGCAACATTTGAAACGGGTATTCCAAAGCCTGCTAAAGGTTCGTAGTTAAAAACATAATGAGGGTCTACAGGAATTCGACGCCGACATAAAAATGTTGATTCGTTTGGCCTATCCACAGGCGCCGAAAGATTTCCAAGAACTAATCAGAATACAGGCATTTATTGATGGACTACACGATGTGGAAATGCAGCAAGCTCTTTATCTACAACATCACAGGACGTTGAGGGAGAAATTGATTGCAGCCCAGGAATATGAAGCGGTAAAACTCCTTTCAGCGACAAATAAGTAACAAAACTCTCTTATACTCTCTCATAATAGTTTGATAACTACGTGGAGATACCGTGATTGTTTGCAATTTGATTTTTGTAAACAAAATTAGTTTAGTAATTGTTCGTCGTTGAATGTGACCAAATATCGATCGGTTGCCATTTTTTTTTTGGTGGCAGCGAAGCCGTGGTGTCATTTTTGTATTTTGAGTTTTTTTCTGAAAGTTAATTAAAGACAGTGTTATGAGTGATTACAATTGTAGTGTTCAGATCATGACTGTAAAAGCCGGAGTGAAAAAAAAAAGGAATGAGGTAAACTATATTAGGGAAGTAAATATCACGAGGGGTGGGTGGCTCAGTGGCTAGTGTCTGGATTTATTCGATCCGGCCGTTCAAATCATACCGTTGGCCGGGATTTTTTCTAATGAATTTTATTAACTAAAAATTAATTATTATGCACAGGTAGGAATATAAAGCTTTAAAAAAAGTAAATAACACGACTGTAAAACTATAAATATCCCGAAAAAAAGGAACAATCGTCAGTTTGGGCCTTGAGAATGAGTCGGTTCCAACAAAAGTTGTATCCACTGTAGCACTGGAGGATAAACGCACCGTTAATTCTGAATGGTACACTATAGTTTGTTTGCCTCAGCTTCTCCAAAATATTCGCAAAAAACGCCCAAGAGGAAGGACCATCTTGCATCAAGATAACGCTCGGACTCACACTGCTATTCGAACAAATAAGTATTTGAATGCCCAAAATATAAGAATTATGGGTTGTTAGCTGTATAGTCCAGAACTAATAACTAATGACTTATTCCTGCGGGTAAAGGATAAATTTCGGGGTTTACTGCCGAAGAAGCGGTTGATGTCTTTAAAAATTTAATGAACTAACTATGGCCAGAATATTGGAGAAAATGTTTTCAGATGTAAAAATGACTTGATTGTGGAAGAGAATACTTTAAAAAATTATATTTAAATGTTTTTTGTAAATAAACTGTGTTTTACT